TCTGAGATTGTGGATTTGGGGTTTTCATGAGCTGTAAGCCATAATCATCACAGTTATGACACATCACGGCTTGAACTATCTTGCTTTGCATGTAATGAGTCTATCTCATATATTAGGTTCACCTTTTAAGTTGCATTACTGAAATAAATGAACTTTTGCACGATATTCTAATTTTTCGAGTTTCACCTGTATATATATAATGATCAAAGTAATCAATTTAGCCATCTCTGCTAACTCCATCAACTTTTGCAGCCGTTCCTCCCTTTGGGGGATCCAAATGTCTTACAGCCTGGAATTAAAAAGGTCCCCCAGGCCTTTAAACAAACCCCTGTTTCGGTTGAACTTGAACCAACTTTTTTTGTTTGTTTGTTTCTTCTGCAAAATAGTTCCCCTTTGTGCGATTCAGCTCCGGCAGGGAGCTGCAGAATTGCGTTGACGTTGTGTGTACCGCCCTCCCCCGCCCCCCAAAAAATAAAAAAATAAAAAAAGTGGAATTTGAATTTGCTTTCGTTGCTGGAAAGTTATCCTGCAAGGCGTAACTTCAGAGTAATTCAACACTTTTTTTAAAAAAATAAAAAAATAAAATAAAATAAAGGGAGGTTAAAATCTTTCAAAAAAAAACAAAACCCAACAATGTACAATGTGAGCAGTTTGCAAAAAAAATGGGTGGAGGAATTTTCCGAAGAAGCCGGTCAGGGTCAATACTGCAGAAAAACGAAAACACTTAAAAGTTCTTTGGAATTTGCAGGGCGGATTTGTTAAGTTTAATGGCCTTTGAGGTTTGGCAAAGACAGCTAGTCCTTGACTTACGACCGGCGTTGAGCCCTAACTTTCCTCCGCTAAGCGAAGCGGTCGATTTTTGCCCCATGTGACAACCTTCAGCGCCGGTTGTTTACTTCGTACTTAACCTGTTCAGTGGATCCACCTTTCCCCGTCGAGTTTGATGGGCACCAGGGCGCAAGAGGGGGGGTCACGTGATGCCCCCCCTCCCCAGGACGCTGCAACCGTCATAAGTGCGATTCAGTTTGCAAGCCTCCGAATTTCGATCATGTGACATCTGGAACCAGCTTATTTATCATTAATTCCCTTTGAGGTTTTGGGTTTTTTTTTCGTTGTTTTGAACGTGACATTGTGGAAGCTTCATCCCTGGAAGCTTTCAAGGAGAAACTGGACTGCCATCTGTCAGAAATTGGTGTAGGGCCCCCTGCTTGGGTGGGGGGGTTCGACTAGATGACCTACAAGGTCCCTTCCAACTCTGTTCTTCTACTCTACTCTATTCTATTCTATTTTATTCTATCCATTAAAATTCTACCCTACTCTACTCCACTCTATTCTGTATTCTATTTTATAATAATAATAATGATAAAGTTGGAAGGGACCTTGGAGGTCATCTAGTCCAACCTCCTGCTCAGGCAGGAAACCCTATACCATTTCGGACAAATGGCTGTCCAGTCTCTTCTTAAAAACTTCCAGTGTTGGAGCATTCACCGCTTCTATTATTCTACCCTACTCTACTCTATTCTGTATTCTATTTTATTCTATCCATTATTATTCTACTTACTCTACTCTACTCTACTCTACACTACTCTACTCTATTCTGTATTCTATTTTATTCTATCCATTATTATTCTTACTCTACTCTACTCTACTCTACTCTACTCTATTCTGTATTCTATTTTATTCTATCCGTTATTATTCTACTCTACTCTACTCTACCCTACTCTACTCTACTCTACTCTACTCTACTCTACTCTACTCTACTCTACTCTACTCTACTCTACTCTACTCTATTCTGTATTCTATTTTATTCTATCCATTATTATTCTACTTACTCTACTCTACTCTATTCTGTATTCTATTTTATTCTATCCATTATTATTCTAGTTACTCTACTCTACTCTACTCTACTCTACTCTACTCTACTCTACTCTACTCTACTCTACTCTACTCTACTCTATTCTGTATTCTATTTTATTCTATCCATTATTATTCTACTCTATTCTACCCTACCCTACTCTACTCTATTCTGTATTCTATTTTATTCTATCCATTATTAATCTGTTATCCCTTCCAACTCTGTTACTCTACTCTATACTCTATACTCTATTCTGTATTCTATTCTATGCTACTGTATGCTATGCTATGCTATGCTATTCCATTCCATTCCATGCCATGCTATGCCATGCTATTCCATTCCATGCTATGCTATGCCATGCCATGCCATGCCATGCTATGTTATGCTATGCTATTCCATTCCATTCCATTCCATCCATGCTATGCTATGCTACGCTATGCTATTCTCTATCCTATCCTATCCTATCCATTCCAGGCAGCCTGAAAAACCACTTTCGGCTTATGTATTTCTCTGTCTCTCCCCGGCTGGCCGATGACCCCAGTAAATAAATATTGCGCGAGGCTGAAGGAATAAAGGAAAGTGATAAAAAGGGGTCATTGCAGGGATGAAGCAAGAGCAGAACAGCTGGGAGAAAGGAGATTGTGACTGGGAGTTAACACACCCTTTTGCAGTCTGGAGTCAAAAGGTTGCTTTGCTTCTCAGCCAAAATCTGATATTACCGGCAGAGAAAAAAAAAATTCAACAATGGGCTGATTTATCGCAGCGGCAATAAATGTTTCTGCTGCAATAAATCAGCCTGTTGTTTTCTTCCAGCAGGAAATGGATCCAGATGACCGAGGGTCTTTTGAAATATATATATATAAATATATGAAATAAATATATATATATATCCTGTTTTTTGCAGCCTCCAGCGGTGATCCTTGGAGACAGTTGTCTGGTTTTGGCAACCCCGGTTTGAACCGGACAAGTCTAAAGAGATCCAGGCTTTTGGTTGGATTCCCGGGAATTCAAGGATGCAGTTTTCCACTATTAGGAAAAGGCGCCGTTTTGCGAAGAGAAATGCAGGTAAGATTATCTAGGTTGTTGGGTTTTGGTTTTTTTTGCAAGTGTGTGCGTGCAGTCCTCCACTTACAACCGCAAAGGAAACTTCCGTTGGCTGTCGTTAAGGGAGTCGCACGAGGTAGGTAGTCCTCGGCTTATTTGAACCCTTCGTTTAGTGGCCGTTTGAAGTTACAAAAGCGACCTACGAGCGTTTTTCTCACTTCACGTCCGTTGAAGCGT